CTCGATGCCGAGTTTCGGCCGAGCGCACAGGGGAGCTGTGCAGGTCTGGGGGGACCGCCCGCCCCAGGCTCCCTGCCCGTGGCCCCGGGGCTGCTGGGGGCGGGGGTGGGGTACAGGCTTAACCTCCCGGAGGCCAAGCCGTCGCCGGGATTTCTGGGATTCGGGCCCCACTTACCTGCCGGAGCTGAGATGCCACAGCTCGTTGCTCTCCTTTGCCAGCTGCCCTTGAGTACGTGCGGAGTCACCCGCTGGACCCCATCGACACCGCGGACTTTGAGCGGGAATGCGGCGTGGGCATCGTGGTGACGCCCGAGCAGATCGAGGAGGCGGTGAGTCCTTCCCCAGGCACCCCGCCCGCCGGCTCCCCGGGAGGGCGTGGCTCCGCTCCTCCCCGGAGGATGCCGGGGTGAGGGATGGATCCCGAGGACACTCTCCTGAACCCGATCGCCTGGCTGCCTGCAGGTGGAGGTCACCATAAATCGCCACCGGCCCCAGCTCTTGGAGGAGCGCTACCACTTCAACATGGGACTGCTGATGGGTGAGCGGGCCTGCGAGGGGACTGCTCTCCTCTCCAGTCATGCCTTCCCATCTGGAGTAATAAGGGGGAGGTGGCAGAGGGGTCGGAGTCCCTTAAAAAGGGGTCTGGCTCTGGCGGGCTTGGCTCAGTGAATAGAGCGTCAGCCTGCGGACTGAAGGGTCCCAGGTTCGATTCTGGCCAAAGGCACATGCCAGGGTTGTAGGCTCCATCCCCAGTAGGGGGTGTGCAGGAAGCAGCTGGTCAATGATTCTCTCTCATCATTGATGTTTCTCTCTCTCTCTCCTTCTCCCTTCCGCTCTGAAATCAATAAGGAATTTTTTTTTTTTTAAAGGGGGAAGGGGTCCGGTTCCTGAGGTCAGCCTGGACCCTCTCCTGGGAAGGAGGGTGGGAAGTGCCTTCCTTTGCCTTCCTGCAGCTCCTTGTGCCCACGTTTCTAGGAGAGGCTCGGGCTGCGCTCAAGTGGGCAGATGGCAAAATGATCAAGCATGAAGTGGACATGCAGGTGGGCGCCTCTGTGAGCTGAAGCAGGCAAAGACCTGCCGCGCGCATGGTCCAGTCCACTGAGGGGTAAACAGAAGCCAGGGCGGGGGAGCCCTGTCCCTGTTCTGATGAATGGGGAGTCTGGTGTGGAGGAGGCAGTGAGAGGCTTGGCCTCTGGGTTGAGCCTCATTTGGTCCGAGTCACTACCCTGAACCTCCATTTCCTCGCCTTGTAAGTAAGGGTAGCTCTCACCTCATTTGAAGTCAAGACCTTCACTTAGGGTGCTGGCATAGAGTGACAAGAGGTGCTGCTGAGATCGGTCGCCTGTCTTGATGCTGGGCCCGTAGTTTCTCCCTAAATGGCAGTTTGTTCCCTGAAACAGTGTGGACTCTCAGGAGGCAAAGAGCGTTTGAGGCCAGAGAGCTATGTGAGGAGCGAGGTGGGCGGGCCAGGAAGGGCTTAGGTGTGAGGGTGGGTCAGTCAGGGGCTCCTAGAAAGGAGGCTCCGGTCCCAGGCCAACTGTGGTCTCTGCTCAGGTCCTGCACCTTCTGGGTCCCAAGAGGGAGACTGATCTGGAGAGGAAGCCAAAGGTAGCTCACGGTCCCGGGTCCCTGGGGGTGAGACTTCAGGCCGGGAAAGGGATGGCTCACCCCAGTGACCCCAAGTCACCTCCCGAGAGAGCCCTGACCCAGCTTTTCTCAGGTGGCAAAGGCTCGGCTGGAAGAAGCAGACGGGAGGCCAGCCCAGGGCGTGGTGGAGAACGGTGAGGGGCGTGGGCCCGGCGCATGCAGCTCCTGACT